TTTTGCTTATTCCCTATAAAATTCTAAAGGGATATTTTGACTAAAAATCTATAAGGCTATCAAATTTAATTAATTTCTGGACACTGGATCAGAAAATATAAGGGTTTTTGTGAGATCATTGAGTTTGGAAATGGAAAAGTCCGTCAACAGAAAATGAAGTAAAATTTCAACTTGCTATATCTTGAGAATAATTAGGAATTTTTGCTTAAAATTTTCAGGATTTTCTAATGACTATAAGATCTACAATATATATATAAACATGAATAAAATCTATTTGGGGGGGGGTTAGATTTTTCCATTTTTTTTGGTTGAATTGATATGGAATGATCCTTTTATATTTACCTGAAAATCATTTTGCCTATAACTAAGAAGCTAGACTGTTAAAAAGACTTTTTGGGTAAGATTCATCTTCTGCCAGTAGAATAAACCTATCAACTTTTTTATTTCTCTTCTCACATTAAACAATACTGTCATCCTAGACAATTTCAATTCCTAACTTTAAAAAATACTTTATTCTTGATGTATTAAAATTCTCTCTTTCACACGTTTTTTTTTTTTCACCTCTGTAAAATGGTTGATGGTTGATAGGTCATCATTTTAAATAGTTGAGTAATAGCAAATATAACGTCAAGAGTTTCATATCTCCCACTAAAGTTGAGTTTTTTCACATTAAGTACTAAACTTTAGTTATAGCATGAGCTTGATTATCAATGAATTTTTGCAATAATAATTCTCTAATTGTTGAAATTTATTTTTTTTAAATAAATTTATACAATATTTTATGTTAGTTTACTTTTGTCCATGCTCCTTCTCTCTTGTAAAGTGAAAAAAAAATTTCATCAAAACCCTGTCATAAGAATATATCCTCATAAACCAATAATGTTCTCTAAAATCTTGCAGATATTTTTTACAACTTATTTTCTTCAAATTCTACCTGCATGACAATATTATTAGTAAAGTGTAATAAGAGGTTTCTCAAATTTATTGATTATAAAAAATAAGTTCTATGAAAAGTGTTGTTCAGCACTTATTGATTGTAAAAGAAAAGCATGTTCTTTTTTAGTACAAAATAATTTACATACCCTGGATAAATACCTATTTTATAAAGAGAAAAGTTTAAAGTGTAACCATATTTTCTTTTTAATAATAACAAAGATAGTTTGAATGTCGGTTAAATTATTTTCCTAGGGTTAATGTTTTATATCTTTAATGTTATAATTAAAAGTATTTTCCAACTTTTAATACATTTTATAACTTCAATATATGAATTTACTAATGAAAATATAAAATTTCTTCAAGCCATGATTTGTGTATTTGTTTTGGTTTTGAACAATAAAGTTCAAAATGAACTTGTATGCCTTCCACATACTGCGACTTTCAATAGAGCATCAACTTCAAAAAATTGACAAGGAATGAAGCAACATTATTAAATGTTTCCTTAAAAGAAAAATCAGCTTTATAAAAATCTCAATGTTCCAGTTGTTTGAATGTACATGCAATCTTTGTAGATTGCAAAATAAAAGATCAACACCATTTCTCTTTTATTTACTATGCCCGACTGAATCATAAACAATGCATTAACATGACCACATCCACTGATAACATTAAACAGTAAATATCTACAGACCAGACTTCATTGCTAACACAATCTATTTATAGTATTTTGCACAGTTGTCTAGTGGTCACTGAAAAATGATTTTCTAACCATATAATATAAATTCTATGAATGGTATTGTATGCTTTCTCTTGCCACCTGATCAAATTTAGTGCCTTCCTGTAACCTACAAACTTTATTTATTTTTCTTTATTTTTAACTAGTGCTTCACCCCCACCATCTGTTCTTATCACTTTCCATCCTTGGTGTTTTCACTTGCTGCTTGCTTCAGGGGGTCAAGGTGATTCATATAGTTAGCTACCACTTGCTTCCTTTCCAGCAGTCATCGCCACCACTGGCTGCCATAGAATTCAGTATTCACACTCCACCTAGTTTTCATTTGGTTGCTGCCAGTGTAAGTTGAACTCACTCTTTGTGATGCCCTACATTGCTCAACACTAACTTCTCACTAGGTGGATAAATTTAAACATGTGAGAACATGTACATGCATATAGATGCAGGATCTTATCAAATAATGAGTGTGTGTGTTACATTAAAAAGTACACATAAATTTATTTTAAATTTTCAGTTCTTTATAAGATGAAAAACTTTTACTATAGTAAAGATGATGTAAAAAAATATATATATAGAGTAGACATCTACATTCTCTTACAAGTGATTTGTTCAATTTATCATTATTATTCTCAGCATAGATAGATTGTTAAAAATGTCACATTTAAAATTAAAATCAGTTACATCATTATTTGATTGAAGTCCTATCAATTTGCCTTTAAGCACATGTTGATAGTACAAAATTACACAATAGGGTATCAGCAAATTAAGTTCATAATTTTATTTGACATTCAAATGAAAATGTTTATAAAAGACATTTAATCCCTTTTGATTTTGATGAATTTTAATGTTTAGGCACGTGATATTTTTTTTTTTTTTTTTAACTCTAATAATAATTGAATGAAAATGGATAAAATTAAAATCTACTTGAAATTTGTATTTGTTTTCAGAAATAATGATGATACCGTGAAATGCTTGACCATAACTGAAGTAATGAATCAAAATTGCTTTAATTTTTCATTTCTCTTGCTGCAAAAATGTATTTTTCATATTAAAGTAATTTAATTTATAGCAAAATCTCATACAAAAATTTCAAGAAAAATTACAAAAATGATTTCTACATTTTATTGGAGAAATTTTATCACTAAATATTTATTTGGTCCAAGTAGAAAGAACTTTTTTTCAAACTTTATCAAAATATTTTGTTCCACTGTTTTCTAACTCTCAGAAAATTTTATAATTCTACCCTCTCAGAAATTTTTAGTTTTCTGAAGCAAGAGTTACTCAGAGTAACATTTTTTTACTAGGAATTGCATTAATAATAATAATAATTATTATTACTATTTAATGAATCTGTGCACCCCCCAAAAAAATGGTAATCCACAGGCGCAATATATAGTGAATATGGCAAATGATAGAAACCTATCCATCCATTCTGTAATTTTTTTTTTTTTCTTGGTCACCAAATATGCAGTCCAGAATTATCTTGATGGGATATTATGCTCTTTCTTTTGACTTTCATCTTTTTGTTGATTTAAACAAGTACTAATATCAATTTTACTACTTGAAGGTAGTAAAATTGATATTAGTACTTGTTTAAATCAATCATTTAATTTTTAGAAGTAGTTCATAGTAAAGAACTTCTTCCAATCCTCCATATATATATATATATATATATATATATATATCTCACACACGCTGTCATCTTCTTTGGACAATGGACTGCATTTGATACCATTAGTGGTGGTGCATTTTGCTTGTTTTGTAATTATTACATAATTATTACAGTTAAATTAAATTTTTTTTTTTTTTTTTTTTTTTTTTTTTTTAATGGAGCTCAAACTATATGCTCTCAGAGCGTAAACACAAAATTAATATTTTGACCAACCCAATAAAATCAGAAGACATCTAAATACGGCAAAAGGATTTTACTAAAATAAATATTGTATAAAAAAAAAATTCACTTTGCATCTCTTTGTTGATTTCAGTACACATAAAAATTACTATGAATTTTGAAAACCATTATGTAAGCACCATTGGTAAATTGCTATATGTTACTTAATTATTAACTATTATAAAGAAAATTATGAGAAGCTAATTTTGTGCATCAAGTTCAGTAGTAAGCATTGAGCACTTTCCTTTTGAGAAGTACAACCATTCAGGAAACATAATTTTCTGAGTTACAATATTCAAAATACTGTTTGTTTTCCATTAATATTTGATAATCTTACAGTTTCTAACATATCAATTCTTATTTGACACTTAATCCAAGTAACAAAACCTGTAAGAATATGAGTAAACAATTGTTGGTAAATGTATGGATAGAAAATAGCTGTTTGTTGAAGAAAAAAGCTGATATAGAAAATCCTTTTTAAAACTGAGACATTAGATTACTTGAAAATATTACCGCACATTTTTAATGAAATTTTCAAGGGAGGATACCCTCGTTTTCTAAAATTAAAGTTCTTCCCCTTAGTTTGTAATTATGCAATGTTATTTTTCTGACGATTTTTAAAGTTTCATCATTGATATAATTCATAAATGATTAAATAAATTGACTTTTCCGATGTAAAATTAAATTAATATTTATTCCTTAATAAAAGTTGCCGTCTTCCCTGCAAGTCAATTCCTTATCAAAATTAAACAAGTCATAACTTTCAAAATTTCATCTTTCATAAGAAACCAATTCTAAATATGTTCATAAAATGCTGTGTAACGAAATGGTAGTTTCATATCTGAGGTTAATTTCTGCTTTTTGGCAGAGTGAAAATTGTTTACTCTCTTTCTAATTAAAAATCAGAATGTTTCTTGTGAATGCTCTACTTTACTATAAATCCAAATCAAACAGAAGACTTGGTGAGCAGAATTTCCTTTTCAAATTTCGGTCTTTGCAGTTTCAATCCCAAGGTTACAAAGTATATGATCTCTTTTAATTTATTTTTTCTTCGTTTGTTATCATGAATATGTACCCCCACCCCTCGATCATTAATTAAATGCAGATTCTGATCATAAGCATCAAGCATCCCCCATTTTATATGCAAAAGAAACAGTCTGGGTGGTATTTTTTTTTATTTATTTATTTATTTTTTATTATTATTATTCTAAAGAAATTAGGTATTCTTGTGTTGCTAGAATATTAGAATCTATATACAGGGATACTTGGAAACTCTAGTAATACTAGAATATATATGCACTAGTTATTTTCAGTATTTTTATTAATATCATTCTTGAAATGGGAAACTGTAAAGTGATTAAAAAATTAAGGATTTGTCTTGAATTCTTAGAGATTTTAATTATACTTTTTATTTTAATTATACTACAGTAAAATACCAGAATGACAGACACAAATGGTTATTGCACAACCACAGAGTCGGTGTTACCTCCGTGTCGTATCTGTGGTGAGAAAGCATCTGGCTTTCACTATGGTGTTAACACATGCGAAGCATGTAAGGTGAGTAAATACACTCTCTTTATATATCTCTCAAAAAGCAATTTTATGGTCATTGTTACAATTTTTTAAATGTTACTTCAATATTTAAGAAAAATTTATTTAAAAAAAAAAACACAAACTTCACCTCATAGTATTTTTAACACCATTCCAATTGATTCCATCTTAGCTGTTCAGATCTATAAATATTCATGTGAATTCAGACAGGTATTTTTTATATAAATTTTAGATTTTAATCTTCATTCTTGAGCATTTTTTATCTATAATCTTGGAAATAAACAAAGCTCTCATTTGTGGAATAAATAACTATTTCCAGTATGATGCCAGTTGCTCTATTATATAAAGTCATATTGAAAATCCATGTGAATAAATGTTTTTCACTATAAAATGCATTGTAATTTTTTTATTATGATATAAATCATCCAAATGCTTCTCTAGGATTTTTTTCTCAATTATAAATGCCAAACAAAAATTAAAGTTAATTTAAAATAGGTACCTCCACGAGATCACTAATAAAGAGCATAGCATGATGAAAAATACGCTAGACTTGACAAAAACAAAATTTTATAGTCTAAATGTTTGTTATTATTAAGAGGAAGATCACATTTTTTTAATTGTTCCTAGCACGTCCGAAACTTTTATTAAAAATCTTTTTTTTTCTTTCTTTCTTTTTTTTTTTTTGAGTCGGCAAAATTGTCAAATAATTGATCATGGCAACCATTTTTTTTTTTTTTTTTTTTTCCATTTTATAAAAAAAAATGAAAATCTCAGTTTGAAATTCTTTTAAAGTCAATTATCATTTTTTCAAAACTTATTTTAAGAAAATCAGAAATTATGTTTATTTAAAATATTTTGAACCAAGCTTAACTTAGCTTCTGCCCCGAAAAGATGTAAATTGAAAATAAAACAAAGCCGGTCATAAACTTTCACATCACTTGACAAGTGATGAATGACATATTGATGGATTACGTGAGGATAATTTCTTCTACAGGAGAGAAGTGAAGTTATTTACATTTAAGTGAACAAATTATTTACTGCGTTATTTTTAAGGAAAATTTTCAGCGCTCTAATTTAAAAAAAATTTTTTTTTTTTTTTTTGTACTTTCCTTTCACCTTTACGTTTACGATGCTTTATGGAAAATATATTATAAAGAAATTAAAATAAGAGTGAGATTAAATTTCATAAGAAAGGTATCTAATTAATTTATAGGTACCTTTCGTATGAAATTTTATCAGATGTGTACATAAAATACTATAATTTCATGTACATTTATTACATTTTACTGAGTTATTTGTATTTCAATTCATTTTATTATTAATTTTGATATTTCATTTATGGAAAAATCTCATAACTGAGATTAATATAAAAATAAGATCATATAAATTTCATAAGATGATACTGATACTTGTAGGTACCTTTCTCAGGTGAAATTGAAAAATCAAATTAACTTCTCCACACGTGTTTCGCAAAAGTAAAGGCCTTAACAGTGGAGAGAACAATGCTTGACTCAAATAATGCAACAATTCTATTCTGGTTGATCTTCCATACTTTATAATTACAGTCTGATTATAAACACAAAATTACATTTCTTAATTACTGCAGGCCTTCTGATTAGTCAAAACGATACAATTTACAATGTGGTGAAAAAAGATCTATCTCATAAGGACACTTACGAAAGTGGATGCAGCTTTTAACTAATTTTATAATATTTTAACAACTTGAATGTAAAAATCTATTATAATTAAAGAAATAAATAATTGTATTAAAAATTCATTTTTCATCAAAAAAAATTTTTTTGCTTTCAGAAAACATTGTCTATATTCATAAAAACAACTAAAAGCATTTGAAACTAAATAATGTCTGTTTTATTGAGTTTTGTATGTTACAATTCAGAGCTGATTTTCAGGTAGTGAGGTCCAATTAAAAACAAAAAAAACATGATTTGCATTCCTCAAAGCCTTGTGCTTTTAACTATTGTAATCACTAAAGTGGACTTGATAGAATTTCTAGAGTTTTCATGAAATTAGTTATGGGGGGAGTAATAAATATATAAAAAAAAATATTTCTGCCATGACTTTAATAAAAAAAAAAACAAAAACATATTCATAATTTTGATCATCTAAAGTTTCATTAACATCAGACAATTATTTTTATTTTTGCAAGATTTTCCAAATTAATGTGTGTCATACAAAAAATACGTGTTAGAAATTGTACATGTTATTTTACTATTTCCGGTGATACAAAGAGAAACAAGGTTTTTTTTTTTTTTTTTTTTTATCAAAATTTAGAATGTTGTAAAAAGGAAAATTTTTTAAAAATAATTAAAATAAACTTTGGTCTTTCTTCTTCATAATAACATAAACATTTAGACAATAAAATTTTGTTTTCGTCAAGTTTGGCATCTTTTTCATCATGGCTCTTTTTTTCTTTCTTTTTTTTATAGTGATCTCGTGGAGGTACCTAATTTAAAACTTGATTTCAAAATTCTTTGTCACAACTTTTTGAAAAAAAATTATTTAATTTTAGATTTTTTTTTTTTTTTTTTTTTTCCCCTTAAAAAATATCTTCAGAAGATTGAGTTTCATTAATTATTCTGTGTATATACCTGCCTTAACTACTGAAAGTTCTTAACAACACTAAATGCAGATATAGTGAATCTCTTAAATCTATAGATCTAATTTAATCTTTACAGTATTTGGAAAATATTTTTGTTAGAATGTAAGGAATTCTTTTCTTATTTACATTGTTTCTTTGGTTATATTCTTCAGGGATTTTTCCGTCGAAGTCTAATGCGAAAAGAGGAATACAAATGTCCGGGAATGTCAAATTGTGAAATTTGTCCTGGAAAAAGAAATTCTTGTGCCTTTTGCAGATTCAAAAAGTGCCTTGCAATGGGGATGTCAAAAGAAGGTAAGCAAAAGCTTTCAGCAATACTTAATTCTTGATAATATATTTTTACTTAAACATTTCTTTGAAAATTTTGCATCAGATTTTTGTTTTATTAACACAAAGCTTCTAATAGAATTCCTACTCTTTATTTTGTTGATTCAACATAAATAATTTTTATCAGCCCATTAATTTTTATAGAAATTTATTTACCACTGAACCATAGAAACTTGTTATTTACCACAGGATCATAGACTGCATTGATAGAAATTCCTATAGTAAGTTAATCTCTTGTATTTTTATTGGGGAGAAAACATTACTTGAAAATATGTAAAATGGAAGACTTCAGACATCAGAAGGTTTTTTATATATATATATATATATATATATATATATATATATATATATATATATATATTATAAACATTAAGCCAACACTCAGAGGTGACAGTTTCATACTAGACACAATAGTCAGGCCACATGTGTTGGAGAATAAATAAAAAATATAAAAAAGAAAAACAAATAAAATAAATTACAAACTGCTCCCACTAAAATGACTGTTATAAAAATAAAAAGGAAATAAGCAAAAACATGTAAAAATAATCAATCCAAATAAATAAATAAAATAATAAACAAGTTAAAAAGCTGTCCCCACCAAAATAAGTTAGAACAGACTACAGCAATCAATCCAAAAATTGGACGAAAAAAGAGTTTTAATTACCTTCCCAAACCAAAACAAACTATTAAATAAATGATCTGAACTAATCTCTAAAAAAATTTTTTTTACTACGTTACCAAAAATATCGAAAACCAAAAAGAATAAGTAAATATGTAAAATAAAAATAAATAAATAAAAAAAAACAAGTAAAATAAATTAACCCAAATAAATAAATAAACAAACCACTCCTGCCAAAATAACCATCAGAATGGACTATCCGCAATGCACCACTGACCCGTATATATAAATAGTCAAGAAAAGACCCAACAATTGCGGCCATTTAGCCTAAAACAGTCTGTCACCTCTGAGTATTGACTTCAGTGTTCACTTTTATATTTACATACACTCTCTCTGATACTGAGCACTTTATCCCATAAATATAGCACACCTTAAAACTTATATATATAAAGATACTAAAACCTATTATTATTTCATAATTGTTATCTGTGGACCCCAAAAAAAGTAACTCAAAATTTAGTATTGCTATGGGAGCATTTAATTCTGTAGAGGCATGTGAATTATTTGGAATCTTGTTATTCTGGCAACTAAGATTTATTTTAGACTCTATAGAAAAGATGGCATAAAGCAAGTCCACGAAATATAGACTGAGAGGCACTGACAAAATCACAAGCCAAATATTACCACTACCACCAATGCTAAAGTGATCAACTTTCTCAATGTGATCTTAGACTTAAATAACAGTTATTACAAACCATATACAAAAGATCTATATAACCATAGATACATCATAAAACTAGATAATTTACATAAATCAGTCCAAGTTAGGTTTTCTAGCAACTCCAGCAATAAAGAAATATTTGATAATAATAAAATTAAATGTACAAAAGTTTTAGAACTGAGCAACCATAAAGTAAATTTAGAAAAAATCAGAGGGAGGGTAAAAATAAACATAAACACCATAATTGTAATATCATATGGTTCAACCCACCTTTTTAATCATAATGTTCAAACTAATATTGGAAGAATTTTCTTAAATTTAATTCATAAGCACTTTAACCATTCATCAACACTTAAAAGATTTTTAACAAAAATGTTAAGATCAGCTATAACTGCATTAATAACATTGATAAGTCTATATCCCAACATAACAACATTATATTAAATAAATATATTTCTAACAAAGATAATGTTAATTTTTTAAAAAATAAATGCAACTGCCAAAAACATATAATCTGTTCCTTAAATGGTCAATGTATGACTAATAATATTGTATACCAAGCAAGCATACATTCTGGTAAGAATATTAAATTTTATTTTGGTTCCACTGAAAATCCTTGGAAATTTCACTTTACCATCATCGAATGATTTTAGACAATATAAAATACAAAAACAGCACTCTTTTCTCTAAATATTTCTGGCAATTAAAGAATGGCGGTAATATGCCTTTTATCACCTGGGAAATTGCAGTAAGAGCCAAATCTTACAACAGGAAAGAAAATAGATGTAATTTATGTTGTGTTGAAAAATTAGTTATGTTAAAACACTTAAATAATCCTAACTTATTAAACAAGAGAAATGAATTGATAGTTACATGTAGGAATAAAAATAACTGCTTAATTACTTTGATCCAGATCAATGTATTCTTTTTTTTTGTTTTTTTAAAAAAGAACAAGTAATCTCTCTTTTATGCTTAATATAAAAAAATTAATTCATAACTCTAAAATATTTTTTATTGTTTTACATATGCATACAAATCCCATTTATTTTAAATGCCAAATACATTTTAAAATTAAAATCTGTGATCCCAACTGTGCTGATATTGTGGTAACTAGATATTTTTAAAATTTAAATTACATAATGATGAATTATTCAGCATCTGAAGATTGTATTGTGCATGAAATTCAGAGTTGTGCTATTGGTCAGGAATAATATGTATATTAATATATACGTAATAGTTCTGTTGTAATTACATCAAGTACTGTTTTATTAACACCAGCACTTATATATATATATATATATATATATATATATATATATATATAAAGCTACCATAATTAAATGACCTAAATTTTTGTTAGAAAACTAAAAAAAATGAAAACTGGGCAGAGATTTTTAAGTTAAAAAAAAAAGTTAAACTTGAGTTTATCAAATTCAGATTATACCTCCATTGGATTAAGTAACAATGATTAAATGAACATTGTTAATATTTATAAACCTAAAGAGACTTGAAATGTGTAAAACCAAAATCTTTTTATGTTAGTTCATTGCACATTTACAATTGTAAATATTCAGTTGCCACTATGCTATAGATAATTAATCTGATAGTAGTTACCTCCCCATATTCGTGATACCTAAGGTTTAAAATGAATTTTTAAAAATAAAAAATCTTTCTTGAAACTTTTATTTTAGTTCTAATTTCAAGCTGATAAATTAAATTTAATATTTCCAATAAGCAAAATACTTTGCTCTCTCAAAAAGATTTAAATTTACTGGAAGTAGTTTTTGTTTTGAAATTGCTGAAATTAGCTCCTTTCATCAACATATAATTCTCTTTATTAAAAAAAATCTATTAATATACTTTTCTGAAACTTTATTTAAGTAATATTAACTGATTTGAAACCAATATTACTTACTTTAAGTTTAAAATATCACAGAAACATGGTGGTAGCTGTTTATTTAAGGAGTTGACAGCTTGAATGACAGATGGAAGTTCATCTAATGTTTTTCTACAGTAGATGTATCTGTAAAAAAAATAATTGAGGAATATTAGTGAGTTTTTATATATAATTTTTAGTAATCAATAATCTTAAAAATTTAGAAAAATATTCTCTATAATGTAATGTTTTATTGAATTTTAGATACCTTGGTTTTAAATTTACTATGTTTATCTCTGTTATTTTTTGATAATTTTGTGTATGAAGATATGTATCTACAAAAATCAGCACATTTATACATATACAAAAAAAATTTAAATTATGTTTAAAATACTGGGGGTTGCTGAATTGTAGTAGGCTTTTTTATTTATGATTAGTAAATATAGTTTTTACTTAATAACAATATCACCTAACCTTTACAAATTAATACAGAATTTTAAGAGTTTAAACTTTAATAAAAAAAAATTTAAAAATGAAAACAATTCCTGTAAAAAAAAAAAAAAATTTATCAAAAATTTGATTTTTCTTAGACAATAGTGTTATGTTATTCATAAAAGCAATTAAAAGCTTTTCTAGTTAAATAATGTTTTAGTTTTATTGCATTTTTTTTATTTTATGATTCAGAGCAGATTATTAGTAACTGGGTGTCCTGTTTTAGAAAAAGAAATTTGATGATTTAAATTCTCCAAGGAGTTTTGCTTTTAACTAATACAAACATTAAGCTTTACGAAATTTAATTTCTCAATTTCATAAAATTCAATTCATGTTAAACAAAAAAAAATTTCTAAATAATTTCATTCATTTATGAATAAGTCCTGAAAGTTTCATTAAAATTCGACAATTTTTTTTTTTTTTTTTTTTTTGCTATACTAATTTATAGTCCACCTGTAACGCAAGGAAAACAAGATTTTTAACCAAAATTTAGAATAAATAGGATAAAAATATATAGTTATAAAATTATGAACATGCATTGATTTTAAGGGGAGATAACTACACTAGTTGTCTAAATTTCAGAAGTGATTGGTTTAATTTTTTTTGTTTTTAGTTTGTTTTTTCACTTTAAAACTTATTTCATTTGTGCGATTATTTTTTATTCTGTGAACAAGGAAATTAACTTTTATTTATTTATTCTCTTGTTCGATTTACTTGTTTCTATTAATAATTATCAAATGTCTTTTTATTCTCTCATTTTATATTAAAGCTACTTTCATTTGTTGGATGTTATGACAAATTCTATGTGCATGTCTTTAGTAATCTGCCCTTAAATTTAAATTTTTAACTTAAAAAAAAAATAACTTTCAATTTTTCTCATCCAGAAGGACTTTTAAAAACCTTTTTATCCACCATCTCTAGACTGTATATAGAAATCAGCTAAAATTGAAATCCTATACAAAGTGGTAATACATTCATTACAGTTGAGTTGCGCAGCTCATATGGTGAAAAATTTAAAAGGAAAATGTTGCTTATTATAAGCATAAATTCCAACTTATTTCATTTAGTTGAGAAACAATTTGCTTCAATACCTGCAGAAATTTCTCTCGAAAAAGATCTTGCTCTACAATTAAAAATGTATCTGAAATATACTTGAAAAATCGCTGTTTAAATTTTTTCTTTCAAAGCATTATAAAGTGAAAAATTTATTTGTTTTAAACTTTCAGAAAATTTCTATTCAGTTATGTTTTAATCTTGTA